TAAAATTAATAAATATAAGCATTCTTTCATGTTCAATGAATAGAAACCTAAGGCGGCATTCAAAGTACACAGCAAACCTACAATATTCTCTCAGGACTTAGAAGAGAAGGGCTAGCTCATAGAGCTTTTCCCTTTGAAGCAGAAAGTGAGAAGTGATGATGTAGCCATGATGACGCTGAGCGCGTCAATATAATTCACAGCTTGGAAATTAGCGTTTTTGAACCAGCGTTTAAAATGAGCTGTGTGTGAAAGATAGCTATAATTTGGAAGAGCAATGTTACTGCTTTATGAATTTTAGACTGAACCCTTAAAAAATTTAATAATGCTTACTCAATTTTAAAATAATAGATAAAATGTGCTACTCTTTTAACATAAAGTTCCGTGGTTTTTTTTTTTATTTTTTTTTATTTGCAGGTTTTTTTATTTAATGCACGTTTATTTCTAATCATTTCTTTATTTGCATGCTAACTGAGAGAATTTTTATGCTGCTTCTAAGATAACTATAATAGCAGCTATTTAAATTTACTCAAAAAACAACTTTACATTGACATAGGTTTAAACATATATGACATATATGGCAACATTTCTGCTAACCTACGTTTGATTTTTTGCCTAATTGTAAATTTTACATTGTTATAATTCTCTTCCGATTCAATATAATAGATATTTTTTTTAAATAATTTTGTAATTTATACTTATATCTATATTACAATTAAATAAATGTATATAAGATTGTTACCTTAATTTTGACAAAATAGCTTTATTCAGAGTACCTAAAACAGTTATTTAATTTTTCAAAAGTGTGAGTAAAGGAAGCAGGTCTTTTTATGCCAATTACTTTGATGTTTTATACTATTATATTTTTATCTAGAATGCTAATCTAGCACAAAATCTAATCAATAATTAGTTACAAAGGATACAATAAGAATAACTTTAACAAGTACTTTACAAATTAGTTTGTTAAATACTTGTTATTCTTGTTCTTCTTTGGTACTATTCATAATACCGAAGAGGCCCCACCAGCGGCCGAGCGGTAAAGTCGCTGAACACTGGTAGTTCGGTCCGAGGTTCGAATCCCGCAAACGGGCTGGCTGCATGGGTGTTTTCGTGGTTTTCCCCATGTGTAACGTGTATACGAGCCAGTTTCCCTTAGAAAGTCCTCCACGAAGGCATCCCTCCCCTTAGGCAGATAGCCCTAGTGTGCTTTGCCATAATTAAATACACACATACACATAATACCGAAGATATTATCGATTAACTCATAGAAGTCAGATGCTTTCTGATTTCCTGTGGGGTAGAGTATACCTTTTGCGGTAACTTTTTGAAAATAATGTTTTCTCTGGAGCGACTTTTTGTCTCTCGTTTCCCTTGACCCTTATTAAATAATTTGGTTTTAGTTTGTGACACAATTTGATTTCTTCTCAATCTCTATTTAAAACCTCTTTAATAATATCAAAATTTAAAACAGATTACATCTTCTAAAACAAATCCTCTATCTAAAACGCGGTTTCTCAGTAATTTGAGGCAGAGCGCGAAATGAGACCTCTGATTAAAACAAACTGCACATTTTGAAAAGAACCAACTTAGTCCAGTTTAGAGTCATAGCAGAGTTTTCAATCTATATGCATTTCGTCGAAACTGAGAACGCATATTTTTTCTACAGAACAAATACAAATATTCGCCTCTTTTTCCTTCTTTAGAGTAAGAACATTACTTTGAATTCTTGGACTACACACTAAAATTTAGAAAACACTAAAAAATAAAATAAACACCATTTCTTTAATTTGATAATACTAGGTAAAGATATTCCAATTTTTTTTCTCTTTCCAAAAATCATAGCTTTAAGATGACAGAGCTCTTATGACGATGCTACGTGAAATATTTTCACTAGTCCACCTGATTTTTTTTCTTCTTTTTCAGTAATGCATTAATCTGCGTCTTTATAAAAATAAGGCTTTAGACATTTTTCCAAATTCTTTCCCGATTTGTGCTCCCCCCCCCCAAATTTCGCTATTTGAGATTTTAATTTCTGATACCAATTTCTGTCTAGATGTCGTCCACCTTCTTTGTCGCTGAACAAACATTCTAAAATTGTTTCTTTTCTCTATTTTTCAATACTTTAATACAATTTAATACAATTTTCTAAGGATATTATTTTGTTCTTCAAATTATCAATGCATTCTGTTTATTTTATCCTTAAACATTCAGGATGATCTACATTTTCATTTGTGAGTTTTATTTCAAAATCATTAAAATTTGATTCATTATTGTCATCATCAATTTCGATTTATATTGTCATCATAATTTACTTTCGGCACAGCATTCCATTCCAACAGTTTCTTTTGTGGCTATCCAAACAAGCGATTTTTCATATCATCTTCATAAACACTGCATAGAAAATGTTCGCTGCAAATTTTCCGCTCTTCTCTTCACATTAATAGAATCTTCTCTTTGACATTTGTGTATCCATACTTTCGTTCAAAAGCAAACTCTCATTTGGATCCTTTGGTCCCATGAAATAAAATATCTCATCCTTTCATACTTCTGTAAGTGCTACGGCACGTTACTACTGCAGCGCAAAAAGCCATATTACGTAAACGATACTTTACAATATAGAATTTAAAATAAAAACTGACTAAAATTACATATATATAAATTATTTTAAATATATACATTATTAGAAAACAGATATATATATTATTAAAATTAATTTGGGATATGTAACCTCTAGAAAATCGTCTCGCAGCTCAATGAAAATACTGTTTTAAACGCGGGAAATCAGGACAGGTGGCATCACAGTGACGTCAGATTATTGCCTGTTACGTCCCCCCACTAGGCTCGCGTCGGCGAGAGTCGACAAAGAATTCTATTGATATTCCTATAGAAAAAGCAGAAGGTATGAGAATAAGCTTTTGCTTTATGACGACGCAGAATAAAAGGCAATGTCTAGAATATAACAAAACTTTGACATCTTATATGGGTTGGCAAAAGGACAAAAAGAGAACTTAACACCCTTTCTAACTGTGATAGAATTTTTAATATGGGAAAAATTTTAAGAAATATTAAATTTTCTACACTATAAATATACAAATGTGCATAAAATGATGAATTAAACATTTCTAAAAATATATACTTGACGGGATGATGATATAAATTTGAGAGAAAAGGAAATAAAAAATTGCAATAAAAAGATGACCATACATTTTCGCATGCTTAATAGTTTAAAAATTTTCACAAAAGTTACGTTTCTGAATAAAGCCACAGTTCTTTTCCCAGCTCTCAAACTTAAAAATTTCAAAAGCTATGTTTTCCGACAGTATTATATAAAATGTTATGTATAAAACACGTATATAACCCCATTATGTATAAAAGAGATTTACCAGATCAAAATGGCTAGAGCATAGTCTAACAAGCCCAAATGACATTGACATGGGCATATGACACAAAGAAAAAAAAAAAAAAAAAAAAAAAAAAAACAACACACACACATTTCGAATTGATATAGCATAATGGAAGACTTAGTAACCTGAGTAATTTGATTTGAATGCACAGTATAATATAAGTGATCAAACTTTTTTAAAATTTTACTTTTAATAATGTATTTAGTGTTTCATATATAGCAGGAACAGTATTTTAGAAGATTTTACTTTTACTACCCATTAAGAGAACAATGTGAAGTGAATACACACACAGTTGAAGTAAATTCAATCTATCTTAACTTCTTAAACAAATTAAGAAAATACATAAATAACAAAATCCCATATAAAATGGAAGGGACTTCTAATTGACTTATCCAAGACCAGAAACTTTATATAATACTCTAACTGGGAATTATTGCCTGCTGCAGCACACAATGTTGAGCAGCAGCATTTATTTAAAAACATGTTAAATCAATATGCTAATACTCAATCCGCAAAAGTTTCAAGTATAAATACTGTACTTGCATTCACTTTTATCTCCTCTAATTTTACTATTTGAAAATGAACACATAGGAAAAACATGCAGAGTATATCAGTTCTAAAGAAAAAACTTAAGGCAGAATCTATACACTTGAAAAACACATCTAAATTAAGTGTCACAATATTACTGTTAGATATTACTTCAATAATTATATATATTCATTTTCATCCACATTAAACACAGCTGCTTATGCCTTAAACAATAAATGGACAATTTCTTAATTAGCTACAGAATTTAAATTTGGATTTTCAAATTATAACTAAATGCCTTTATTAATAAATTGGGAGGAAAAAATCTACAAGAAAGGGTGGAGGATCTAAGAAAGTTATCTATGTATATCTTCATTGTCAATAACATACTGTTATAGCATGAAATATAGCGAGAAAGAGAATGCAATGACGTTAGGCCACTGTAACAACTATACTTTTTTCCATAGACAATTAATTTTCATAGATAATCAATTTTCATAGACAATTAATGGGCCTTTGTCATCCCAAAATAGGTTAATAAAGGCCCATTTCACAAGCCTTTATTAACCTATTTTGGGATTTCATGTTGGTACACTTATAACTTGACTCCACTTTCATCTTCCCTTTGTCTTTTTGGAAGGGGAGAATAACTAGTTTTGGTTATGATTTTTGAAAAATGAATAAACAGCTCTGAAATTTCCAGAACTTATTATGTAAAGCCCACTTCCTGAATTCAAGAGGTAGGCTGAAGCTAAGTGAATAAACCTATTGATTGGAAAAAATAATGTGAGAGGAAGAAATGTGCAAATAAATATGGCATCCAGAGCATTACAATATTTTAAAATTTTCTATCAAGATAATCCTGCAATATTATCTTAGGGTATTTTTGAAGTAATAAACATTCTAGCTTAAAAATGTATCAAAATTATTTATTTATTTCAGTACTATTAAATGATTTCCATATTAAATAGATAACATACTTGCCAGATACTTAATTATGGTCTAACAAGATACATTACTCAAACATTAACTTAAAACATTAACTTAATAAACATTAACTATTACATCTAATAATTTATAAATGTTTTAATTAAATTCACAAAAAATTAACACCTACACCAAATTGAAGACCTTCTTTAAGCTTATCACCTGGCTGGCTAGTTAAAGGTATACAATAGTTTAATTCAAATCTAGCCACACTTGCAAGAGAGAAAACTAAACCTATTCCACAGGACCATCTTAAATGTGAAAGAAGTACCATTGCATTATGATGATAATCATCAGTGAAAGCAAAGTTACCTATGTTTCCTGTATTTAAAAATAAATGTACTTTACATATTTTATCAAGAATTTGTCTCAAAGGATGAAAAGGCAAAGGTGCATATGCATGAAGAGCTCCAGCCCAATATGCTTCAGCTCCAAGGAAATAATCCCGGGCTTGTGGGCCAACCCCATTCGTGGAAAAACCTCTTAGAGATAATGGTCCACCTAAAAAGAATCTATCATTAATTCTCACACACTGATCGGGGCTTAAGGTACGAACTAAACCACCCATTAACGTTGCTTGTAGCACCAATTCATCTAAAATAGGTTTGTTCATTTGGTACTGAATTTCATGTTTCAGAAAACTAACATTTCCTCCAAGACCAGCATATTCTTGGTATAAGCGAAAATAGCTACCATGAGATGGAAGACAAGGATCATCTCTTTGATCCATGCATAAGATATGTTTTAAAGAAGACTTCACACTATGCCCAGCTTCTTCCCTTATTTCAAAAGGAGTTGCAGGAGAAAGACATTGGAGATTTCGCCATATTCCTTCCCATCTTAAAGAATGCTGTACTTGAGGTGATGATTCAAACATAAATTCAATTCCAAGGCCTTTTACTTTTTCTTGGTAACCACTCCACAAATACTCAGTTGTTTGTCCAAATACAAACTGATTCAACCTAGGTTTAGCCCAGTTCAAGAATGGTTTGGTAGATGTCACTATGAATCCAACAGTTTTTTTACCATATTGATAATCAGCAGATAAAGCTTCACCTCTCCCAAACATATTTGGGCACAGTAACCTAAAAAGTAAACTACCTTCATTATTTCCAGCTAATGCACTAATGTTACCATCCATCCTAGATTTTTCTTTAATATTAAAAGTAACTTCTAATCCATCGGGTGTTGCATCAGGACCTTTACTAGTATCAAGGATGATATCAATGCTTTTAAATGCCTGAAGAGTTTCCAACTGTTGTTTCACACCATGAGCTCTTAAGACTACATCATGAACATTTTGAGCTTTCAAAAGATCTCCAACTGCTTGTAGAAGCACATCATCTTTAGTTCTTTTCACGCCATCAAAATGGATCTTGTCTACACGAGCGTTTACTTCATCCAGAGGCTTCAAGTTTTCATCAGTTGCATTCCTCATCTGAGGGTGTGACTTAGCATGAACAGAACCCATTTTATCCAGAACCTTAAAATAAAAATGTTATTTAATTTAATAGAGAAATAATTTTACTTAAATATCAACAAACACATATTTCTATAAAAAACAGTTTTAATTAAAATTTTATACAGTCCTGATATTAATTATAAATTGCATTTTAAAGTCAAGAGGATGACTTATGTATAATGGCATAAGCATTTATTTAAATTAAAACAAAAGACGACAAAATCAATTTTTTCACAAATTCAGTTTTGGTCCTTCAGCAGACACATAAGAAATTTCCTTTCATAGTTTTTATTATTTATGAAATAACTTTTTTTTCTATTAAGTTACTAATTTTTCATAAAACTTTTTGGATTATTTATTGAAAACTCTACAGATATAATCACAGTATAATATGAATTTTATAATTATATCAGGTTGCCAACTAAAAATTTTAATTTCTAGCCTCAAATAACCTGATTGCCTTACTCATTTATAAAAAATAGTAGATATGTTATTGCGAATGCTATTAATGAGCTAAATAATTAAATCTCAATAGAAATGTTACTGATTTTCAGTCAACTAATCTAAAAATTGTCATTTTTCTTACCTACAAATTACATTTATTCCAAACCAAAAGCAAACTATTTGGTACTGAAGTATCTTCAGTTACTGTTTTAAGTTGTTATTATCCCAGAGAGCTAGCTTCAATGACATTTTACAAGATGACATCAACATATCATACATCTTATTAGAGCAATTTTATTGATTAAAAAAATAGCATTTAAATTCATTCCAATTTGACTTATTCATATTAAATAGCTTCAATATTATGTTAATAACAAGTGAATTTTAACATGTTGCTTTTCGGATATTTTTTATCTCAAGTATACTTAAGCAACTGGAACTTCCTTCTGCACAAAATTCAGCATTATTTTTATGAACCCAGATAATTTTATTATACTATTTACTGAAACTGATAAGGAAGAGCTGCTGATATGATTTATTATATCATATATATACTACATATGAATCTATATTTACATTCATTTCTACATGCCAAATAATGCATAAAATGAAAGTCTGAGAGACAAAACATTTCTGATAACAATAAATTTTGTAGAGTATTTCAAAAGAAGTTCTGTACCTGCTTACTTTAAACATATACATATACACCTGACGAGCCAAGACATTATGACATTAATCTTATTTTTCAATGAACTTGTCTGGATGATGTGGAGGGCAAGTCAGAATGGTATTTAACTGCTACTGGATAAGGTAAGGAATTATTCTTACACTTACTTTTGCACTGTATGACTGATAGGTTGTTCACAATCTGCCATGGTTAGCATTTACGCAAAGTGAATAATGATGGTGAAACCAGCAGCAGACACCAAGGTATTGGACATCCAAGTGCCATCAAAGAAAATGGACATCAGTGACTGTTCCATTTGGTACAGCAAAATTTCTGTATGATTTGGAACAAAAGGGAAAAAAGCATTAATCGACTGGTGTGTAAACGGTTTACTTAGTCGTCATTATAAGTGTCCTGTCTATATGAAGGAAACACATATGGTCGAACGTTAAGATCATTCAGATGGCTTTGAATGGGATTGTCTCAAGAAATGTTCATGCAAGAAATGCTACTGACAGTCCGGTTCTACAGAGGATATTTTTGACCCTTATTTTTGTGAATTTATGTGGTGACGGCAGTACATATATTCTAGTTCAGATAATTTTAGAAAGATTTTGGATGCTGTTAAAGAATTTTGTGTACCATAGTAGGTCAATATTTCCTTTTCGTACTGCGTATATGCAATAATCAGGGCTACGGAGTCGGTAAGGAAAATGACAGACTGACTTTTGGAATTTAAAGATACTCCCTCATATATATGTAAACATATACATATGAGTTGCAGCTTATTTTTTTAATATTAAAGAAGTAATAGATGCTACAGAAAAAAAAAAAAAAAAAAAAAAAAAAAAAAAAACTGATGGCGTAGCAAATTATTTACACTAATTAGTGTTTATTATGAAATAAAAAAAAATGGCATTACAGTACAAAGTCCAAAATCCGGACTTCGGTGATTCTGGTTAATAGTTTCTCAGTTTACATCTAGTAAGATGGCATGTAGAAATTATAAAATTAAAAACATGAAATCATGATTTATGAAATAATGGAGTATTTATGATCTAAAGGGTATCAAAATTTACACACACACAACAAAAAAAAAAAAAAAAAAAAAAAAAAAAAAAAAAAGCTTCATATTTATTTGTTTACTTTATTAAACACTTCTTTCAATGTGTTTGTTGTTTCATATTTTGTGTTAATATTTGCTGTTTAATTCTGTAGACAGACATAATCTCTTGTTCAGTTACATTGTTGAAGTCCTGTAACTGCTCTTTCGAGAATTCTGACTAACTTGTCAATTGAAATTTTCACGTTTTCAGTAACTTCTCTGTCACTTTCTTCACTATCGGTAGCGGTATTTTCTGAATCTACAATCATATTACAGATTTTGCCATTCGTTAATTGATAGATGATTGAGAAGCATTATCATCATAATGAAAAACTTGTTTTATATCATCTTCATTTATTACCGCTTCTCCACATTTCTTTACAAAATCCGTTAACTGGAAAATTTCACCTTTGTTTTGTGATATCCGAAAACCTTTAAAATTAGCGGCTATCATCATCAAATTTAGCTATCCTTCTCTATACATATTTGGCTATGCATCATGAGCTTGGCGACTAACATCAAGTTGTTTCATTAAATTTTATCTTTCTTCGCACACTGAGACAATTAAGTATGAATTGTAATAGTTTAGTTATTATACTTATGTCTATTTCTTGCACATGCTTAAGGCTTATCAGAATTCTGAGTAAATAAATTCCTACATGTACTTAAGCCTTATCGAGAGCCGGTGCTAGGTATCTTACCGCCTGATGCAGTCTCTGAGGGTCCTAAATTCTGTGACTCAGTGCGGCCATTATGAGCCCTGATGCTGGTTCTGGGTTTACATAAATAACAAATCAGTTATTTTGAATTCAAGTAGCCCTAAATGCAATCTTTGGGTCTATGAGTATCCTCAACAAAATCTAATTTTAGCATATGGAAAGAAATTTTAGGTAAATTTTTTCTTGTGAACATACTTTAGCACATAATCATCGCTAAGCTTAATGTACATCTAAAAGGTTACCATACTCCTTTATTATTCAATTACTACCATAAAAAAGGTTGTTTAGGCATCATTACATGAGTCATTACTCAAGTTGTCATGTTTTGATAAACATGTGATGATGAAAGGAAAGTATAATAAATAATGATTTCGAGGTTGGTATCAGATCAACGATGTATCAACATGGAATGTCTTGGTTTGAGATGTGTGCCAAGCAGATATGCAGCAAAGAAGCCAAATTACTGATCGTACAAATTTATGCTAAAATGACTGTTTCTTCAATAATAAGGTACAGCCAAAAGTCTTTAATCCGGACGTCCATATCCGGAATGATCTATAATCCGGACCTCGAAGCTACGAACTTTCTGTGCATAATACCTATACGCATGCGTGTTTAATGTATAACGAACGGTATAAGCTAAGCTAAAATTATCTAATTATCTATTTCAGTTAATGTTGCAGATTGCGTTGTTCCTTAATCTTCTAATTGGATACGGCTTATTATTTTTTACAGAACTGTTAGAGCAATTTTATAAAAGTAAGCTTGAACTTTCGATTATGCCAAAAAGAATTTCCAATTCTGGAGCTGCAAAAAATGGATAAAGGCATATCCTTTGTTTATCTAACCATTCTGAAATCTGTTTATCAATTTCACGCTGTTCTGCGGGAGGTGGGGACGTCACGGCGTGCAATGAACTGGAAGTTGATCTGTCAGCACTATCCTTATCTTCAGGGCAGATGTTTTTATTTTATTCGGCTTATAATTCCTTACTAAATGTAGTATTTCATCTCGTGTACTCCATCTTGATATGATTTAAATCAAATTCCCTCGTCATTATAAATATCACGAATACACATCAAATAGTTTTCTGGTTGCAATTTTCTAATTTCGACTATGCGTAATGTATGCTTTACGCATGCGCCCATTGAAAAGAAATGTTTAATAAGTAAACAAATAAATATTAAGCTTTTTTTTTTTGTAAATTTTGATACCCTTTAGATCATAATTGCTCTTTATTTCATAAATTACGGTTTCATATTTTTAATTTTATAATTTCTGCATGCCATCTTACCAGATTTAAACTGATGATCTATAATTCGGAATCGCCGAAGTCCCGACTAGCCCGGATTAAAGACTTTTGACTGTATTTTATTTAGTGTCGAACTATAATTATGAATCGGGACTCTCCATATGTTTTATTATGTGCGGAGGGGGAAATCAAATGTGCATGTGTAAAGCATACGAGAAAAACATAGTTTGTGGTTTTGAGGTCAGGATTTTAGATCATTCCTGATAATGGATGTCCGGATTTCGGACTTTGTACTTGAGTAATTTCTAAGAAACAGTATAACTTTGGCAAGATCGTCTTTGCTAAAGGACCAGAGATCTGATTGGATAAACTTCAGAGCTAAGAAGAGTCTTTCCACACTGACTTGAGTAGGAAGAAGAGCAGGCTACTTCTTTTATAACTTTTCAAGATATATTTGTATAAATTCTAAAAGAGGTGTCTTGCAAGAGCAATCATATTTCTCTATTTCTTCAAAGGCTGTGTAGAAATCTTGTTTGTATTTTTTCATTTTTATATTTAAAGGCTTTTGGTTCTTCATCGCTTTGCTTGATCAACAACTGATCGTTTCCTAAGGATGGCATCAAATTTCAGAGCCCTGGGATAACACACATTTCCTTTTTTATGTTATTTCATTGTGGGATTTAAAATGCAGTTTATCGAGTTTCAATTGGCTACAAATTTTGTTTAATTTTAGTGATGAGTAACTTTGTTTTAACATTATGTGACGTCATCATTCTCCGGACTAAGTGAAAACAGATCGATGTGTACATGGACCCCGAGTTTGTGAATTCTTTGAATTGTTATTTTGGTTCTGTGTAGCGACAACCTTGAAATTGCATCTTGCCAAGGGGCACCATGAACTATATTTTTACCCAAGTATTTCTGAAAAAATTAATAATTTTTCTCTACGAAGACTATTCCTTAACCCAACTGAGACCATCAAATACACTAATTTATGGCCACCAATTATGATTAAGGTGCTTAGAAAATGTCTAAATTGAAAATAGAATAATACACAAATAAGAAAAATCTTATATGATGGAAAAATATTTTGTAAGGTCTAAATTCTAGTAAAGATGTTAAAGCAATTAGGCTGTAAATTAGGACATAATAGTTAATTTATTAATGAAGTTCACTAGTTCTGTTTTCTGTATCTTAATATGTTATTTGTTTACAGTGTTTAAGAAAATTAAGCACTTAATAAACCATTCCTTTTTTGGGTTTTTAAAATTATTTTCCTAGACCAGTTTGTATTTTGATTAATATATTATACTTAAATACACAGCACTTCCAATATTTTTAATGGCTTTGTATAGGACAAATCCTTTATGGAAATTAATAACTGTTATCATTGACATTCATATTTCCTAAGATGACAAAAACCATGGTCTGGACCATGGTCATTATCTAATACAAGATTTAATGTAATTTCTTTATTTTCCCAATTTGGGTGCCCAGGTTAGAAGTTCTTAATTTCAATAATTATACTATTAAATTAGCCTTTCAATTTATTCCCATACAATATGCTAACAACATTACTCCATTCTGTGTTCTGGATAACATACTACATAATATTAATTTAATAATCTTACCAGTGGGAGATACATGAAATTGGGGGCCCACCTCACATGAACTTTTCAGAGCCTTATAATTCTGGCTTCAATTTCCTAAAAACTAGTAAAATTCATTTCAAATATCTGTAGTACTCAAATGCAGTACAAAGTTCATAATCCGGACTCGTCGGGACTTCGGCGATTCCGGATTAGGGGTTTCTCCGGATTACAGGCCATCAATTTAAATCTGGTAAGATAGCATGCAGAAATTATACAATTAAAAATATGAAACCCTAATTTATGAAAAAAAGAGCAATTATGATCTAAAGGGTATCAAAATTTACAAAAAAAAAAAAAAAAAAAAAAAAAAAAAAAAAATTATTTGTTTACTTATTAAACATTTCTTTCAATGTAGTTTGTTTAAGTTGCTTTGTTTTTTGTGCTAATACTTTCTCTTAATTCTATAACAGACATAATTTCTTGTTCAGTTACAAAGTTTCACTCTTCAAGTCCTGTAATTGCTGTGTCGAGAATACCCACTAACTTGCCATTCGAAATTTTTTTCGTTTTCAATAACCTCTCTGTCACTTTCTTCACTATCAGAAGCGCATATTAAACGCGCATGCGTAAAGCGTGAAAAAAAAAAAAAAAAAAAAAAGTTTGTG